TACTATGTTTCTTGTACCGTAGTTTAGAAAAAAGGAGTGGTTATAAAAATATTATTGATTCGGAAGTGAATTTTTATATTTAGATATGTATTCGTATTTATCTATATAAATTATTAATATAGGCATACAGGTAGGGGAGAAAACAAGGAAATAGCAAGCTTAAAGAATTTAGTTCCAACATATTTGGAAGTGCATGCAATTATAGTTTAGAAACTTCTGTGGCAAATTTTAAAAGTTTGCAAGTAATAAAATTGAACTTTGTTGGAGCTTAGGGATCTTATAATATACAGTATTAAAATAAAAGAAGGCTACTATGACACATTGGTGTTTGATATCTATAAGAAAAGGAATTGTCTTTTTAAAAAATACTCTTGAAAGAATGATTACTTGAAACATGCATGGCTTAAATAAACATTCTTGTTTAAGTTGTCAATGAAAAGTGTTTTTCTTTTTATTCAATAATCGTTTTCTCCATTAAATTTTCCATTTGAAAGGAATGATTGTTGGTAGAACCTAAACAACTCAATTGATTTAAGTCTAAGATACTGGTGAAAGTGTCACAATATCGCCCATCTGCTTTAGGTAATTACTTAAAAAAAGATGTCGATTCAGCCACTTGAGATATATAAAATCCATCGTTAACAGAGTATGTTTAATCGGTTTTCATATTCTTTAATTTAATTGATAACTGATAGATTGCGAAGCAGATATAGTCCTTTCATATATAATTTCTTGTACTTTGCTGTCCTATCAAAGCAACATAAACAAGTTAAATTATCGATTCATTTAGTTATTATTATCATATTAATATTATTATTGCAATAATATATAGTATGAAACACAAATCATGTCCGGATTGAGATGTATCTGATTATGTAACTATTATTTCATTTATATAAAAAAGAAACTGTAGTTAATCATATAAAGTTCTTTCTTTTTTTTTGTGCAAAATGAATTAGGCTTCCAAATAAAGAATCTATCTAATTCAGAAAATTCGAAAGACGAATTTAAGTGCATATATCAGCAAATTTGGCTGTAAGTTTACAGGTTAACTGAGCAAAAGAGCATAACCTATTGATTTAAGCTTCCAAGCCAACATTGTGTTTATAGTTCTAACTAAGTTTGGATTAGCCTAGAAAATACCTTATGATCAGAATTTATTGAATGAATTTTAACTCAAAAGAAGGATAACCTTCTTTTTTTTCCAAATTAATCAAAACTAAACATGCGTATAATTTTAAAAGAAAAAGCACTACATTTATCTAACAAGAATTTATATATGTTTTCAGTTAGGGGGATATTAATAAAATATTACAATTTATTAAAATAATGAACATTGAAAAATAAAATTAAGTTCGAATTATTAATTATCAATTGCAGTGCAACCAGTATAGCTAAAGTTAAAACTCTTGAAAACAATTTGAATTTCAACACCACTCATTTTCTAAAGTCTTTTCCAAATGGGCCCTCTTACCTATCTCCACTTGGTCCAACACATTATCCATTAATGAAAATAATTAGTCTTAGTTGATTTGTATTTAATGAGGCTAATGGAAGCTGTAGAACTAATGAAAGCAACTCATCTAAAATGATAGAGAGAGAGGAGAGATTGCTTCATAAGTTGATGTGTAATATAGAAGTAGAAAAATTTGAGCTTATCACTTTATTTAAATCAATTTATCAATTTTAATTTTTAATAGTAGATATGTTTTGTAGACGTGTTATAATTTCCAAGAACCAAATTTTAGGCTTTTCCTTTCTAAATTTATTGAATATACGATCCACAGATTTATACTTGCTTAAATTTCTTACTACTTTATTAATATGAGACTTTATTATGTAACATTTTTTTCTCAAATTCAATTAATTTTAGCTAAATCATGACTTGCATTTAACTTTTAACTTGAACTTATGTTTTAAGTTTAAGTCTTGCCCTGGGTCTTGTTTCTTCTTTTAAGTCCTTCAGCTTATGCTCCTTTTCTTGAATTTTTAGATGGCAAAGCTCTATATTTTTTTAGTCCTTTTATTTTTCATTAGACTTGATTCTGTTTTTCATATTTGGACCTTTCAAATTTTTTTTACCATTTTTTAAGACTTCAAGTTTTATAATTTTTAATTTAATATTTTTCGTGTCATTTATAATAATAATAATTATATAAAAAATATATGCAAGTTTACCCACGGACTACCCCTTAACCCGTTGATGAGATGGGAAATAAAAACTATTAGCCTCCACAGGGTTTGTGAATAAATAAAAACGTGGGCTTTCACAAATAAGCCCATCTATTTCACGGGCTAAAAGAGTAGTGCGGGCTTACCAATATATACGTCAGAGTTTGGAAGCAGCTTCAAAGAAGAGGATTTGACAAATCTATTCTTTATATAATATATATATATAGTTATTATTATTTGAAATTTTCTATCTTCAATTATTAATTTTTTAAAAATTATTAAAAATTAATATACTTTCACTAAAATTTTTAACGTCATTGTAGTATGATTTTCAATAATATTATCGATTAATCTTTTAATCAGTACTTTTCAGATACTGACTAATAAGATTCAACATTTTTTTAAATAACGCTTTAAATTATTATTCATCAATTAATTTTAATATTAAACTTAAAAATTTGTTTATTTTTTTATTATATGCAATATTTAAATAAAAAAATGAGACCCTAATAAAGGAGGAAACCTAAAACACATGCTTTGTCTCTTGAACCGCCATGACCAAACTCAAAGATAGAGTGATATATTGTTTTATTTTTCACATTGACGAATAAAAAAGAGAGAGAGAAAGAGAGGTACTGATGAAAATATTTGTGAGATTTTTTTTGGAATTTCGTATGTGTTAAATTAATCCACTTAATCAAGATTATGTCTCAATAATGGTTCACTGAAAATGCTTTCTAAAAGCAGTATTTGCTCTTATTGCCATAATTAATGTAATATTTATCTATTTCTTGTATTAGAAAAAAGCCTAATTATTATTATAATAATATATTGTGTGTTCCAATTCTAACTGGATAAGTATACAATAAGGATAGAATAAATCACTTTTGGTCAACTGTTGACTACTTTGTTTTCAATGGAAAAATTACACAATTTAAAAATTAGTTTTATTACTTGAGAAATTGAAAATTTAATATTATATATAACAACATTGTATACTCTAATTATTTGTGTGTGTCCTAAAAGCACAGTTAAAAAATAAATGAGCTAACCAAAAATTATTCCTCAAAGTTGTACAAAAAACAACTTTCGTTAAAAACAAAATATTTATTATTATTATTATTAAGTGTCATATTTTATTGAAGAGACATGAAAGGGAATACAAAGGGACTTAGATTTTGGACAAATTTGAAGTGTAGTATTTTTGGTGTTTTTTAAAGATCAAAATTGAAATGTTATCTCCAATAATTAATACTAACTTTTAATTAATATCGATTTATATGGTACAAATTACGTAAATAAAATTCCAATATTATTAAAATTAACATAAAATAAATACTTAAAATATTTTAGTTAACTTTTTTTTGTTAATTTTTCTGAAGTAATAGATTTAAATTAATGAATAAAATGAAGAATCATAATTATTAATTAAAAATAATAATAACTGAGAATGTGAAAATAACTTTTATTTAATGAATCACTATACTTCTTGTTCTATTGTTTTAAAAAAGTGAATTATCTAATTACATAAATTGCACTAAAAGAAGAGGTGATATTTTCTTGGTTGCACCACAAGAGATAAGACCAAAGCGTAAATGATTGGCACGAGAATATGTATATATTGTCACAGAGAATGAACATTTTTCAGACAAATAATACATAAATTCACCAAAGACAAGGAAAGACAACCCATGATAAAATCAAACAGATTTTCTATTTAAATCACTACAAATTAACATTATATGTAATATCATATGATATTATTTTTTTATTGACTTTTTATCTTTTAATATACACATCTTAAATATATATATATATATAAAGAATAGTTAAAATATTTATTTAATCATATGTATCTTTTACTTGACAAAATTATATTTATTAAAATTTAAACTCGAAATCACATGTTAAAATAAAATAATTTCATATTTTACACAGTATTAAAAATATTTACTTTTGCTGCACATAAAACATTTTTGAAAAACAAATCTACTTTTCTTTGGCATAGAGCTATTGAGGGCTCCACCAAACTCTCATGTTTCCTTGGCATATAGTGAAAAGTGGTGCCTCATACAAATGTTTGGGCTGTATCAAGCCAGAGGACAGCCTAGCAAATTGACAATCTCTTTTTGAGGAATGGACAAAAAGAGAACAGTGCCCATAACTCATATTAATCTTTCTAAAATCAAATCATTAGAATTGAGAGACGAATAAAAACTGTATGAGACAAAATTCATATAATGGCATCCACTTGATCATAAAATATCCCATGAAAAGGGTGCACCCTAAGTCATGATAAGAAATCAGAGACACCACTTGGACATTCCTGTGTACTTGATGTCACCCTCTCTCATTTCCTTGCTCAAAAGGCTTATCTATTTGACCACATAATCTTTGTTTCGAAAGTCATCTCCTTAACTTAATATACAATAATTTTTGTCTAACCTGTTCAGTCAGCTTAATCAGAAGGAAATTTTGTTGCTTAATATCTCGTTTGTTCTTATTTGACACTCCTATGGAGTGAGTACACGTGAGTGAAGTGAACGCAAGGGAAAAAAAAAGAAGACAAAGTGTACAAACTTCCCAACACAATTACACACAATATTTTCCCCTTTTGTACTATATATATGTACTAATTTCTCCCAATTTATATAACATAACACTTTATACTCACATACTTATTCTGTTAACACAACACTTCATATTATAATTATATTATTTGAATAAATAAAAATTAACACATTATAATTTCTATTATATATAATTTTTTATTTTTCTTATCCATATATTCAAAAAATAGAAGAAACAAATGAAAATTATCTCCAAAAATTGTTCGATAAAACATTTTTTTGTTATATCAACCTTAAGAATATTACTGTAATTTACCAAAAGAAAAAGGGGGAAATGAGAGAAAAATACAGCACAAACCCATTTCAAGCTCTAAGTGGCAAGCCCTTTTTGCATCATGGATCGAAATTCTTCAAAATCCACAAACCCATCTCCATTCTTATCAAACCCTTTGATCATAAGCTTGCACTCTCTTAGACTACAATCAACACATCCTAGATTAAGCAAAACTCTTTGCAAATCCTTAGCTGAGATTAGGCCATTCTTGTCAGTGTCAAAGACAAGAAAAGCATCCATGAGGTTATCATCATGCTCCATGCCACTTGCAATATTTTCTTCTTCTTCTTTCATGACAACCATGAACTCATCCAAGTCCACAAACCCATCTCCATTGAAGTCCAACACTCTCACTATGCCTTCAGCTTCTTTAGCAGCTGTGTACTTGTTGTATCCAAGGCATGAAAGCACTTCACTGAGCTCAGTGATTGATATCTTTCCATCTCCATTAGTGTCAATAAGCCTGAAAACTTGTTGAAATTGGGTAGATACCTCCATGTGAAGGAAAGAGGAGCATGAATAGTCAGAACTAGAAGAGAATCTTTTGTTGGGTCGTCGTCTTTTGCAGCATACACTTATTATATCCATGATTCTTGGCTTGTTAATGTAGAATTTGGCCTTCCTATTAAGAAAGGTGAAGCAAGTAGTGAAAGGTTGCAACATAATTGAGAGAGGAGTGAGAACTGTGGTGGGGGTGGAGTTGACTATAACAACTGAAATGATAAGAGTAGTGAATACTATTAAAGGAAACTTGTTGCGTATGGGGCTGAAATTTGAATAAGGAAAAACTTAGCCAAGTATTTTTGGCGTTTTTCTCTTATCAAAATTAAAATTTTATTTTACTAATTCAAGGAATAAAAGTAAACATTAAAGATTGTTATACGTCATTGAAATAAAATTTTAATTTTAATTAAAAAATAATATGGAAAATACATGTAATAAAATTTTATTTTAAAAATACGTGTCACCTTGTAATAATTCTCCAAGCTTTATTAATTACAGGGTCTCTCAAGGCTCTCTGCAAAAGGGTGAACCCTTTGTAAGACAAAACCTGGGATGTTCATATTCTCTCTTCATTCTTTTTTGTATTAGCTGGTTTTGAAATTCTGTTCATTAAATCACATACACAAAAAGCAGATAAGAATGGGTTTAGTGTGAATGATGCCTTTGGAGTTTGATTAAGGTTTAATTTTGTGGGTGGCGTAGAAAGTAAAAAAAGAACACCCATACTATGTGCCGGCAAATTTCACTTTCACAAGCCTACAATTGTTTTGTTCTCTACATGTTGTGGACTCCGCAGGACTGCATCAATGAAATTGAAAAGGCAACTTTCCTTGGTGACTGTGTATTTGCATTTTGTTAACAAGAAGACAATTATCTTTTCTGGGGAACTTGTGTTCCAACATCGATCCTTGTAAAGGCCATTTTATATATTATCCAAATTTATAATGTGGTTGGATGGTATGAAACACTTTTTGACATGTAATTCTTCACTATCTGTGAAGAACTAACATCAGACACCATTAACTACGTCAAATTATAATTTTAAAGTGAACATTATTATTTTTTTCTTTATATTTTGCTGTAAATGGGTGTGAAACATAAGAAGTATAATAGTCTCTTATGAAATATTTTCCAGTTTTAATTTACAAAATTACAATTAAATGTTGATTACTTATTAGGTTGTGCTTGTGGGTTGTATCCCATTCACATTTTGTATCAGTGAAATCATAGGTTGAAGACCAATTAAAGTGTTTTAACAGATGCATCGAAAGGCCTATTTTCAGTACTTACACTTGCCCTTCCCCGGTTGAATATATCGGACCCAGATCATGCTAGTTTCACACATAATGAAATGAACCATGAATACTAATTGAAAATGCCCAGCCAGAATACAAGACCTATGTTCAAATTTGCAAGATTTAATATATTTGTTCATTACAGAATCATTGGAGCCTGTTTGTCCATGTCCGGTTGCACTGTACCTAACTGTAAACCGGATACTTATGGTTTCGTCTTAAAACTTGATAGGCAATTATTTTCATTATTTCATATAAATTATCGGTGGAGGCTAGCATGAATTAGCATGTTAAATAACTTATAATGAATAACTATTTTTAAACTGTTAGATGTATTTTAAAATCTATAAATAATTCAGATCTTTTACCTATAACTTGATAATATAAGTTTATGCATATTTATCATTTAATCTTGCGTAAAACTTTTCATAATTTCTCTTTGAACCTTCAAAACCTTTTATTTTGTATCTTGAAAACCTACTATCGAAGGGCTCACTCTATGAAAGTTTTCCTCCACTTGAAAGCTAAATAAGAACACAAATAAATAAATTATTGTATTCAATTTTTAGCAGAAGTTCCTTCCATCTAATATTTGCTCACTTTCAAAGAGTAAAATAATCATTCAAAGCAGACTAACTAAAAGCATAGGACAAAGGAGCTTAGAAGGGTGAGGGTGGCGGAAGAAATAAGGTATGAATAAAATTACTTAGATAGAAGCATGTTGGATGACGGTCCCTATCACTAATCAGAGACGTAATGGCAATAATTATAGATTCTCCACAAACTCTATTTTTGAAGTTAATGATTTTTAGAATTAATACTTTTACATAACTCTTACAATCTCAATTAATCACAAAAATGACATTTGTATTGATACATTATTCAATGGTTTTTTAGATCTTTGTATAATGGTTGGTTTACATCGTACAAATTTTGCAACTTTAACTTAAGCTATATTTTTTACTTAAGTTAAAATTATCAACAAAAAATTACTCACTTGAGGTAATTCGCTTAAGCGGGTGATAAATAACTTAAGCCGTGAAATACAATACAATTTTTGCTCAAACAGTAAATATTAGCTTAAGCGAATATCAAGGTAAATAAACCCTTCCATTATAACCAATATAGCTTGAGCGAAATTACTACGACTTAAATGAAATATGTCTTTCAATTCTCTACTTTTCTCCTTCTCCCTCTATTTTTGAGACTTGAAAAGTTTAACAAGCACTTGAGGATCTTGAAATTGATGTATAAAACTTGTTAGAAGAGCACCTAAAATCAACAAAAGAAAAGTTGATGACAAAGACTAAATTTTAACTTCTTAACATTTTAGGTTATAATTTAAAAAAAAAGACATTTATGTGAATTCACGAAGTATATTTTGAAATTAATATGTATCAAAAGTTCCCATTGGTAATTATATAAAAAATTTACCATATGAAAAAAAAAGAATTCATTCAAGATCTCTATGCATGTCTCTCCATAGGTTTTATCGCAAGAAGAGATAAACTATGGAGACTATATGATAATTTCTTATTTATATTTAACAATATGTATAAAAATTTTACCATATGAGTTACGCAAAATCATGAGAAAATAATTAGTCTACGAGTTAAGACACGGGTAAAGGATGGACAATGGAGACTAATATGTAGGAATGAAGCTATTAAAGAAGTCTTTAAAAATATTTAAATTAGTTAAGCAAATTCATGCAATGACAAACATTATTGTTAAAAATTTTGCTTAGATCATTTGTAAGAGAATGCAAATTTTAATGTCACAAATCAGCTTTGTAGGATAAAATGTATTATTTAAAGTATATAGTTTAATTAATTACTTAATCAATATTTTTTTATGTTAAGATTGTTGTCATAAATTTAGGATTTGTTTGGGAACACACCTTAATTAACTTATTATTAAATAAATAATTTTGTATAATTTGTTAATATCTAAAATTTGTTCATAAAATTTTATATAATGAGTTATATTAAAAAATTTATCAAAATAAGTACAAAATAAAATAACAATAATTATAAATATTCACAAGCTTTTGAAAATTAAAAAATTGTCATTGGAATCAATTTAAGAAATTTGTTTTGAAATTTTCATAATAAGATAAAGTAATTAAAATGTTTGAAAATAATATCATAAAAAAATTGAAACAAATTTGATAACCTTCCACTTTATTCTACTCATTGTTTTAATAAATCTAATGATGAGTTAACTGTTTTATGATAATTTATTTTAAGCTTTCAAATACTATTGCTGAAATTGTAAAAAAAAGTTCAATACCATTATTAAAAAAAATACTAATTATACCATTAACAAATAAAAAATGTGTTATTTAACAGTCATTTTAGTCATTTAATTAAGATTTGAATATTGAAAAGTTTTACTAAATATATTCTTAGGGTTAATACCAACTTTTATAAATAAAATATATGTCTAAATTAAAATTATAATAATAAAAAAAATTAAAATTCACAAAAAATATACTTTTTATACTCTACTATTTTGAGTTTGAGATTTATGACCATAACATATGACTTAACTAAGTAACATTATATCAAATTAATTAAATTGTATTTAGTTGGACTACTGGTATTTTATGGTGATTAATAAATATGAAAAATATATTTTACTTTTAAATTTAAATATATAGTTTAGGTGAAAATAAGAATGAGTCCATAAAATAAAGTAGCTAATAATTTGTTATCACGCTTATATAAATGATAGGGGCTTACTATTTTGCTAAAGCTAAACATATATCGCTGAAGTTACGACATCCCCGGTTTAAGCGAATTGTGTACTGCTTAAGCTTATAATACTATCTTAAACCAACAAGTTAAAGCTTAAGCAGCTTAAAGAAAATAAGTCCAGCATAAGCGAATTAAATAGAGTTTTAGCGAATAAATTCTAGGTTAAACTAAAATATTGAGCTTAAGCCAAAACTATCATGCTTAAGCTAAAAATAGCACATGCTTGAGTGAAAAATAGCACGTGTAAGTTAAGTTTAAACTGAACTTTGAAGTTACCATATGTGCTTATGCGAAACATATTAGCTTCGGCTTGTGTGAAAAATTAAGCATTATTCTGAAATGGAGTAAAGAGGTAAGCTACATATGAATCACTGAAGCAAATAAATTGCTTGAAGTAGATTTATTTTATATGCTCAAGGCTTTATGTATGATATGCGCTTAAGCGGATATGTACAAGCTTAAGCGCAATTGTAACGGTAACTTACGAAATTGCACACACTTCTTCGATGATTCAAGAACAACCCTGGAATATCGAGATTGTGTAACTTCACACCCAACTCATTAAGGAAACTATCACTAAGCTATGACATTTCGTGTTCTAAGAAAATAATAAAAGATAAGTGAGACCATTATTAGTAAGAATTTTATTGTAGAGTTACCTCTTGTTACATTGTTCATATTATTCTCCATTTATTTATTTATATATTATCAAGTTCTGAACAATTTTTACAAAATCCAAATTATGTCACCTTGTATAAATAAGATGATTAATCTTTTAGAAATTAACATGAAGAAGGAGATGGATGGTAATTAAAAATTTAATTTAATTAAACAATATCCTTGCCTCAAAAGCCAACAACATAAATTATTATTATACCTTATAAAAAATTTTTAACTTTCTGCTTGCTAAATATATTTTATTATTATCATTTTTACTAATCATAACATGGATTTAAGCCTATTTATAGAAAAATAATTAATATTTTAAAATGAAATATCACTTTAACCAAGTGGTAATTCGCTTTAGCTAAACTATATGTTTAAGCTAATTATAACAAGTATTTTAGATTAATCTCTGTCTCATATTAGCTTAAGTTATAACCGATAAACTTAAGCGAATGTGTGTTAGATTCATATATGTCTTTAATTTGCTTAAGCTTATGAGTTATGGCTTAAGCTAATTTTGATAAAAAATTTAAATTCATCTCAGTCTTTGATTAACTTAAATGTATGTGTGTTAGCTTAAGCAAATTTGACGAACAAATTAGATTCATCTCTATCTTAAATTAGCTTAAGCCATAACCTACGAGATTAAGCGAATGTGTGTTAGATTCATTTATGTCTTTAATTCGCTTAAGCTCATGTGTTTTGGCTTAAGCTAATTTTGATGAAAAATTTAAATTCATTTATCTTTAATTAGCTTAAACGTATGTTTGTTAGCTTAAGCAAAATTTGATAAACAAATTAGATTCATTTCTATGTAAATTTAGCTTAAGCGGATAATTCTAGTTTAAGCTAAATTTACAGTAAAGTGAATTCATACGTTGTTTTTTGTTCAATAAAATTTCTTTAATCATTACCTTTATTTTGATCAAACAAAAATAATGATTTTTAGAATAATTGGGATGAGTATTCAATGTTTTCAATTAGGAAAACATTATAATTGAGAGTATAACAATCGAAAAAAAGAATAGTTATGTGGGTTTAGGGTTCATGGTGGATATGACAAATGGGTTTGTATACTATTAAGGAGGAGAAATAAAAAAAATTGAAATAGAAGAAAGAAAAATTGAACAAAATATTTACGACAATATTCCAAAATAGAATTACCTTACTATTTCTTTAAAATCAAAGATGGGAGCGAGTTTGAGAGAACATGATATGATTTCCCATAGATAAATAATTACGTTCTTTCTGAACCTTAAAAAGAATTATGTTAAAGAAGAACTTATTTTAAATATTTAATAGATTTATATCTTTTATCTACAAAATTTGATAAGGATTAATTTTTAAATATTTAAACTTTTAAACCCACTATAACAGGTCATTTTGCTAACTTATTATAAATTATCTAATATGCTAACTCATGTTAGCCTTCACCTAAATTATTTGTATAATTCATTATTAAATATTCTTTATGGTTCATCGTTGTGTTCACACAATTTATTTTTTTTTATAATGTCATTTGATTCAACAATTGGATGAACTTAAGCTATAAATATCATTAGTTAATCCCCATCTGATTTTAACATTGCATAAAAGTTGCAATGATTATTCCGTAAATTGAAGTTTAAAAGTAAAAAATTTATAACCTAAAGCTCATAACTTATAATTTATATTTGATAAGTTAATTAAAAGTTTTATATTTGAAATTTTATGGTTTATAACTAATTAATTAATTAAATTAGAATTATTTGATAAAATAAATTGTATAACTAGGTAAAATATATTAAATGAAAAAAGTTAAAATTATTTTACATAACAATAAATTGTTTAAAAAGTTAAAAATAAAAAAAAATTGAAAACAAACTTTTATAAGTTATCTTTTAAAAACTACAAACTTCCTTTCAAAAATTTTAAGCTTCCTTTATTTTTTGTTTACTAAACAGCATTACTAACTTTCGGGGGGGAAAAAAAGCTCTAAAATAAACTGTTATACATTATTAATTTATAAAAATTTAATTTTGTTAACTTCAATCCTTAAAATTATGTTTAAACATTTAACAATAGTAAATTTTTATTAAAAAATATTTATTACTTTAAAAATACAAAAGTATGACATAATGTATTTTTAATAAAGGAATTACTGTTTTTTATTATCTAAACTCAACCCTTTGAGCTTAAATTAACAAAACTATTAAAACTTAGATCTCTTTTCACACAGTCTTTACGGGATTCACGCTTACAACCAGCAAATTAATCCCTAAGCAAGAAAATTCCGATAAATTACGCCTTACCGGGATATAACGCTGCAAAACTAATTCTTTTAAAAATTGAATAAAAGGTAAAAATAATACAACAATGAGCCTCAAGGTAATACACATTAATTCTGAATTGATAAGCTAGGCTTGTAAACTACGAAAGTTAGGAAGGTGTAGCTAACACAAAATCACTACAAACTTTTCATGCACCGTCATAGTATATCATTGACAAGTAATTCAAGGCAAAGGAGAGAAGAGAAAAATATGAACAAATAGATTTAAACAAAAAATATCCTACATCTCAATGCAGGGTTAATCTTTTTACCCAAATGATCAACATGACTGTAGCAAAACAGGACCAACTGATAAACTAAGCATATCACTAAGCGCAACCTGGACCTCGTTGGACCCATGTTCACAACTTACCAAGCTAGAAAGAAGAGGGAAAAAATGAGACAGGTTCTTTTCAAAAGAGACATCGCCCAAACTACAAATGGAGTGCAGAGTAGCGACAACGAGAGGTGACCGTGCAGCCAATTCTCTCCTCTTCCCAGAGCCTAAAGGAATTAACCACTGGGGCTTTCTACCATGAGAAGATTCAGATTTTTGTCCAAAACCTGCAACTTCAATATAAAGCTCCAGAACCTCCTGACAAAGGCGAACAAGATAGGATTCAACCTCGTCTGCTTCATAACTAGGAGGCTTGTCAACAACAAGGTTCTGTAAAAATGTAAGGCAGATCTGGTATGACTCATTCTCAAGGCGTAACAGGGGAGGGTCTTGCATTTGGGTCATAGAACCAAACTCTTGAAGCTTTGAACGTAATGCAGAATCACTGTTAATCTTGTGTGCATGAAACGCTACATCGTGCAAAGCATCAAACAGGACTAGCATGGTTTTTGCTGAAAGGTGAGAACGATACATGTTATAGATCTCCATCACCGCCTGTCAATTTCAGGAAGAGTTACAATCATCTTTCAACATCACAGTATCAACTTTGACTAGGACGCATAAAAATGAATACCACCGCAATAATGAATATTGAAATGAGTTATTGAATAGGAAAGACACATCTCCCATCATGTGCATATTCCTAACATTTATCCACAATTTGAGTAGTGCTACGATATTAAGAATCTAACTGTAACATCAATAACAAAGGATATTGATCAAGCAGACTCCCAGAATAAACTAAATGCCACAGCTACAACTCTTGGACTCCTTTATAATTTCTTTCGTAAGGCATTTTAACTTATTTTACAGTAACAGAATAAGAATTTACCTGAATCAATAAAAGCTGAACAGCAGCTCGGCATTTTGCATCAGTTAAATAAGCATAAAGACGGCGAATCCTCAGGCTTTCAACATTATCTGGGGAGCCTGGGGAGCCAGACTCAGCAAGATCTCTATCATCTTCAGCTGTTGAAGCACGTTCATGATTCCTAGTAAAGTCTTCATTTTCAAGAAACGTAAAGTTAGGGAGTGTTGCATTTGCTGCTTCTTTTAGTGAGAAAACCACTTCTAACCACTTTTCATCAGAAAATAGCTCCCCAGCATTACTCATCAAACGAACAAATGCAGCAATACCAATTCCAGCAAGGCTTTGATGAGGGCGCTTTATAAAGCTAACCAGGAGCATCAGCACTTTTCTTAAAAGTGGATTGACTGTGTTGTAAAAGTTGACAAAAAGATCTACAACCAATTGGAGGGCCAAGGTGCATGTCTCATACAGCCAAGCATCCTGATCAAGCTCACCATCAGTCTCTACTTCATTGACTGGGGTACTACTCCCTGAAGGATCAATAGCATGTCGAACATAATCAAATATTGGAAATAGGACAGACTCAAATACTCTTTCCCATAAAGGCAGTGAAAAGAGATGGCCGTGGTTACGCAAGGTTTCAAACAAGATTTCCAAGGCACTCTTCCTAATCTCTGGCCTTGGGTCAAAGCTAAGCTCAGAAAGACCTGCAGAAAATAGACAACAAATAAGTACAGTTGCAATATGCTAAGCTTCTTAAAAAGCAAGATGATAACTTGAAGCACTAATCATTTGACAAGTTAAGAAACATAGATTCATTATTTTTTCCATACTATTCCTGTCTAGATAAACTTTAAAATGTCTTCACCTGCCAATAAAGGAAACCAGAAATAGAGATGATCATCCTTGTCAGTCACCTCTCCGTTATCTTGTTTCCCCTCTTTTCCTGTTCGAGGTGAAGGTGAGGGAATCTTTCCAGAAACTTCCTTATCCTTATTCCTTGCTGATGAGCCAAGGTCTCCTTCTGCTAGTTTTGTTGCACAAAACCGAAGAAAAGCTATGGCATTTAGGCTAATCTCTTGATTAAATCTACTATTAGTGAATGCAATTAGACAATTCACACAATCTGTGAAGGTTGTGGTTTCAGTCTCAGTGATGTATGGAAAGTAATCTCGAATAATCTTCTCAATAATTTCAAAAGCCAGGAGTACAATGTTTTTGTGGTCATCATAAGCTGCTGTTGTGAACACCTGAAATCAAGTCTACGAGTAATAAGTAGAAGTGGAAAAAATGTTATTCAACAAACAAGAAGTTCTCTTAGAGTTGATCAGCTCTACCATGAACATGCTTTTCCATCCTGATTTGACATTGTTGACACGAGATAGAACCATTTGAGAGACACATCTGATAATTAGTTCTCTAATTTCAACAGCACTACTCTTTCGCATAACAATGACAAAAGGCTTCATAAATTCATTTTGAAAATTATAATTAGCCAATTCTTCCCGCTCCAGAAACTTCATTGACAACTGACGCAAGGAATCCATAGCAAAAATTGCAATTGAAAGGTTTGGGGAACAGCCAATAGTTACAAAGAAATCAGAGAGTACATGCCAGATGCTTGACCACACAAGCCTGATGCGGTTCATATTATAGTGCCTGTTAAATAATAATAATGTAAAAACAATTGACAGTTGCATATAAACATGAATTAATCATGAAACATAAATCATATGCTTGATCTCTGCCCAAACTTTTGTTTTTCAGATGAATTACACCCTCCCACCTTGATCCTGGCACATTTGCAATGCTCCCCTCGTCAATAAAATTAAGCATTTTGTCCCTTGTTTTACCATCTGAACCAAAACTGGGACAGGAAGTCAAAGAAAAAAGGCGACCTCTTCACTTGCTACCCCGTGTGATATTTTACTAGAGTTGAAGTGTTCAACAGAAAAAGAATAATTTAATTCACTAATTTTCCCTAAATACAAAGAATTGTGCATTAGAGTTGGGGATTTAAAAGGGGCAGTCAACCAAAAAGAGAAAAACACGGTGTCAAAAAGGTCATTTTATAAACAAGAAAGCAAATATTGTGAAGTGCAATTAACTATGCTGCTTTTGTAATAACCCCAACCAATGAACCCCAAGAACCATGAGAAAAAGCAAAAGTTCAGAAGAAAGGCAAAGAGGTAGTATGTTTGAAGTAGGTAATACATACGCAATCTCAACAATCTTTGTAAGGCTGAAAACACGTGGATCAGATGGAGACCTCAGTTCCTCCATGGAGACCTTGCATAAAGCCTTAACAAAATCTATTATGGCCTCACTGTTCAACTTCTGACTCCGAGTGAATATGCGGTTCATTTCAGAGCTTCCTACTTGTTCCAGCATATTTAAATTAGACACTATATGGTTCACCTGTTCTGACGTGACTGCTCCAGAAACATTACTGCCAATGCCAGCACTATCATATGAACCGCGCATCAGTGTAGCAGCTGCATACTGCATCCTCCCATGTCCCTTCTTCTTCAAAACAGGAAGAATGGTTGACTTTGCTTGCTTTGTTTTTTCTGAATCATTCTGAGGAAAGGCAAAGAATGTGGCATCTGGTGGAGCACCCTCTCCAAGAAGGTGTAGATGCTCAAACCGAGAAACACAAGTCAAGATATGCTCCCAAGCTTCTTGTAAGTAATTTCCATCCTCATCAGCAATAGCAACTATTGCCTGTCAACAAAACAGATGGAAAGTTCAGTGATATGAAGTTATCAACAAAAGCTTAACATTGAGTTAGGACTTAGGTCCCAAGAATACACTACCCTAAACTTGCTAGATCCAACAAACAACATCACATGCTTCAGATATTGTCCCAAAAATCATTTTCAGTAAATGCAGGAAAGCTCAACAAAAATACTCCATTGATTTGGTACTTATAACATTTGCAAAACAAGGGAAGCACAAATTTTTTCGTTTATATTGCTATGCATGTAGTAATGAAAGCACTTGGTAGAGAGTGTAGCTTTGGATAGGATATAAACGTCCATTAAAGGTAAAAGTGTAAATATGGACTTCAAATGATAAAAGGTGCCATGGAAATGCAAGAAAACACAATCAATTATGCATTTTGAAAAGGGTCGTTAACACAGTGAGTATGAAGTAACATAACAGACAATGAAAATTGCTAATTCATAATCGCTTCAGCCTTTTATACACCAAACAGGTAGAGAAGTTAAATTTCACCAACCTTAATTGCATCTACATTTTTCTGCTTAATATCTGCTGGTGAATGTAGTGATGTAAACTTTGCTAATGAAGTCACAAAAGCATCTCTATGAGTCTTCATGGACATTGCGGAAGTAACATGAATAGCATAGCGGAAGCCTTCAAGACACAGAGATATTACAGTCTCATCATCACTTTGATCAAGAGGAACGCTGAAGGCAGCTAACATTGGTGCCCAACACACCTCAACCATGAATCTGAGGATTACAACATCTGTGGCTGCGTAATAGACTGACCTACAAATTGCAAGCAAATGCATATCAAGAAAAAAGAAAATTTTTCTAGGAACTATTCTTCCCCTCCCCCCTCCACAAATTACGAAAGAAACTACTATGAAAAGAATAAATTTCTATAAGCAGAAGTCAACTTAAAAAAAATCCCAAGCAAGTGATATAATTGCCATTAAAATATTAAAGAAAAAGAAAGGAAACAAAACTACTGTGAACATTTTAGAATGATACACATCACACTTCAAACTGACATGAGACATGTAAAAACCAGATAAATACTAGTAGATACAGCAGGATCCATAAACAGCCTAAGGTCAACAGAAGATTCTTCACAGCAAAGACTAGGTTAAATGTTTTGTTCAACCTAAGAGAAGAATTTGAAAAGTAAATTATCTCTTATAGATAAAGGAAAAAAACATGTAAAAGCATACTCAGTTTTGCGAGCTTTTTCTTTGAATTGTTCTTGCATATGACGGATAAGATCGTCACTGGTCTCCATACTCTCTTCCCCACGCTTACGGATCACAATATTCAATATACTATCCAAGCCTAAAAGTCTATTAGGGTTCACAGCCTGTTTTTGTTGTGGAGTCACATCACTTTCTTTCATTTTGATCTCATTTCTAGATATTCTCTCAAACAAGGACCTCAAGTATTCCTCAGGCAGATCTTTTCCATCATCAATCCCACGATTGTTTCTTATGAAATCATCAGCAGACATCTGCATAACTCAACCACATAGAAAATAAGCCATCATGTCTGTCATAATTATTAGTACATCAGTTTAGAGAATTATCTTAGCGCACCTTGTTCTTCACCATAGGATTGTGAGCATCTGTATTGAGCATTATAACAGAATAGGCAAGGACATATGCTGTGTCAGCACTAGAAAAGGCCTTTGGATTACATTTGCAATAACGTTCAGCAAACTTTTCCATGATCCGATCAATTTTCTGTGCCTCACCAGGTAGTCTAAATCCTTGAAGAAAAACCCTGATTGCCTCATCAAACTCCATGCCTTGAAAGTTAAAGGAATCCACGTAAGCATGCATTACCTTCAAGGATAACTCTTCCCTCTCTCCCAGATAATCACCAATCAAAGTCTTGTTCAACCCAGATGCATCTTTAAGAAAAGCAGCTATATCCTCTGGTGAATCACCCACTTTGTTGGCATTGATGAGGAACTCAATTCCTTTCTTAGGCTTCCTATTAAAAAGTGATATACCTTCCTGCCATAAACTTGCATTAGTTTTGTTAATAAACAGATAAAGCAAGGATATACTATATTTTTAAAACCTTGTTCATTTGTTTACCTGGAGTTCCAGTTTATAAGCCCGGCGTTGCTCAATAGTTGAAACATCAGATGCGTCATTGGAGGCTTCAGAAGGAGACTCAGATCCTTCCCCTGGGTCTTCTCCATTCCCATTTACCATGGCAAAACTGCCAGTTTCAAGGCTATTATCAGTTGCTTCAATTTTCTTGGATGAATGAGGATCAGGAATGCGCAATTGTTTGTTCATCCAATCTCCCATTGATTTTAGAACAGCAACCAAGCTCTTCATGGCTTCAAGCTTTAGTGTTACTTCTTGAGGTGGCAAAAGTGTGGTTGTTACACCAGGAGGGACACCTTGAGCAGTTTTCAGAAGTCCATTGACCATCCTAAGGACAACATAACCGTTAGATAAAACTATAGAGTAAATTAAGAAAAAACCAACCACAACCACACCAGCATGAATAGTTTATGAAAACAATCCAACAACATTGGAGATGCTATTAAACTTGAGATCCAGCTTCCAAACATGAAATTGCATGTTATTTATAAAGTAAATCAAATAAAACATGCATGAAAAAATTTTAAAAAAAAATACATGGCACACCTCTCAAATATGTTTGATGAATTGACATCACAGTCATAGTTGATAAATATGTCAACCAGTATTTGTGAATCAACACAAAGCTTCTCAAGAAATCGAAGCACTATAATCTTCTGCTGAAAATTCGGTTGAGAAACATTTTCTAGGACCCTGAGAACAATCATAGGGAAAAAAACACCAATTTCTGCTTTCAATCCAGCTCTAAACCGTGATACCAGACTGATGAAGATGGAACATGACAGCTGAAATACAATCAAAAGAGTTGAAGCACTGTTCTTCAACAACGATAAACATAAGTACTGCTTGATGGCACCTAGAAACCTGCACAACCACAACCAAATGAAACCATCAATAGAATTTTTTATCATCCAGCAAAATTATATGGTGAAGATAAATTTAGTGTCAAGTATAGAAAAAAAGGAAGAAAATATTACTTTGCATTAATGATCAGAAAAAAAAATCATTCTGTGTTAAATTCAAGAGACAAAAACAACAAAATATCAAAACACACTAATAGTCAATAGACTCAACACTTAAAAAGTATAATAGCAGAAGATGAAGCACATTCAATTCATAAAAAAAGCAGATACACATAATTTAATCAATTAATCTACTAGTTCCAGCTGAATGAGGACAGAAGGGATATTCAAACTTGCATGTGACACAACTAAAAATGTTAAACTAATTAGAAAAAATAACACGATCAAAATTATCCTTTTATGCATCCATCCAACTGTTTGTTTATTTTTACTGGTAGCTAAAAATAAGAATACCTTGCTAAGGAACACAACTTATTGTGCAGGGAAACAAATCCACAACACAGTTATAAATTTAATCGTTATAAATTGCAAGAAATTGTAAGGTACAAGCAAAACTAAAATAACCAGAAGCTAGTATCCACAGTAGGTATTTTAAGTAGCTCCTAAATTTCCAACAGAAAATATTCTTCCTACTTTATACGTCAATTAATCCCAAATATCCAGGAAAGACTAACAATCTTGATTACCAGATACACTCAACTGTCCTGCAATTAGAGATAGGGATAAAAATTGCACTGTCAGCGCATAGTAATTGCATCAACGTTTCAAGTTCTGAAAATTCCAGATTGCACATTCCCAAAGGCACAAGAAGCAGGGAAATGGACAACAAATAAAAGCAATTTCACCGACAGCTGAATCCAGGAGTAGCATAACATTGGAAAAAACAAGATTAGAACCAAGTGTTTTCCAAGAATGACATTGATACTCCCTCCTAGCGAGATTGAAATGAAAAACTCTTAAAAGAGTGAATGCCGGTAACAATTATTCTTTTATTCTAATAAAATGTAAATATGAAAGATAAAAAACTGAACAAATATGGTCAACAAGGAAAAGGACCTTGACTAGTGTAATTGGGGATGAATCCAAACTACAGGCTCTAGACAAGGAAGGGAAAATGCAGAAAGGATCAAGATGTCAACAGCAACAAAGAGCACACTGCACATGCCTTTACCAAATGACTTCTAATTTTATAATGGACACTGAATGGTCATATTAATCAACTATACATCTAGTTGAGTAACTACTAAATGTAATATTTTTTAGACCAAAATAGTTCTCAAAAACAATGCTCCAGTCTAGTAGAAACCATAAGTATCCTGCTTAAAGTAATTGCTGAGACTAGAATGGTCTTAAATATAAAAATGTCTTTAAACTTGTGAAGCCTAATGTAACAATCTGTTAGTTAACCCTCATTAGTAGTTAGTTAAAATAAGTTCCTTAGTTACCAATTAGTTAGTTACATTAGTGAGTTAATTTGAATAAGGCATGTTGCCTAAAAATAAGAGAGGAATATCATGTTATTTGTGAGAGGAAACTAGGGCCTTCTGACATTGGGAGGGCAGACCTTCAACGTTCTGCAATGTGTGTATTCTAATTTGTGAATAATAGAATTCTTTCCCCATTTTTTTTCTAATAAAGACATCAAGTTTCTATCAATTGGTATCAGAGTGCCAATCTTGGAGTTGTGGGTATCAAATCTTGAAGATGATTCCAACATTTGATGGAGAGCAGACTTATTAGTGGCCGATCAATGTAGAGAAGTATTTTGAGGCCATTGGAGAGCCAAACCCAGAGGTGCAGAAGCTATCATGGGCTGCAACAGCTATGAGAGGTGTTGCTCTCAATTGATGGCTTTGCTGGAAACAGAAAAATCAAAAGGCAAATTGGTGGACATTTGTGAAGGCAGTACTCAAGATTTCAACCTGAATATGATCCAGAATTATTTGCATCTGTTGGCAATGAGGAACAAGAATCTTGGGTGCAAGAAAGCAGAAAATAAGATGAAAATCTGGAGAGAAAAGAACCAGAAGCTTGGAGACCAAAAACAAACGAAGAAAAATATGCAATTGTCCAAGAAAATGAACAAAAATCATGGAAACCAGAAATCTTGGAAACAAAGACAAATAAAGAGGAAGAAATTCAAAGGGAACAAGTTCACATTTTGGGGCAAGAACCAAAAAATGGAAGAGCTCGAGGATTGGGACAAGTAGTCAAGGTCTTAGAGAGACAATTGGGTGCTGTGAGGTTTAAAAACAAGCTTGCTTCTGTGGAAGGAGACCATCTTTTAAGTTTTGAGATGCAGAAACAAGTGCAGCATCGTTTGGTTGATAAAGAAAGGATGACAACAAACCATGATTTGCCTAGAAAACCTTGGGTTCTCAATATGCAATGATGCTCTGCTTTAGGGCTAAAAATATTAAAGAAAAAAAGCATTGAAGGAAATTGATTGCACCCACTTGTTTGTTTTTGACCTAGGATGGCTTGAAGCTATTTTGGGACTGCAGTAGTGGGGTTAGCTTAATCATAATTCTTACAAACAAATGGAACCCTGATACAACTTTGTTTTGCAGCTGCCGTGGCTATTCACCTTGAGGACAAAGGTGAGCGTTTAGGGTAGGAGGGAGGAGAGAGTAGTTAGAAAAAGGCATGTTGCCTATATATAAAAGGAGAGATTAGAGAGGAATATCATGTCATTTGTGAGAAAATTAGGGCCTTCTGGCATTGGGAGGTGCAGACTCTCAAAGTTTTGCAATATGTGTATTCTGTTATGTGAATTAAAGAGTTCTTCTCCCATTTTTTTCTATTAAAGATAACAAGTTTGTATCCAATCTCCAACAAGCAATTCTGAGACACAACATCATGATATTGACATATTTATCTTCAGATTATCTTACAAATAATTTTATACATGAGTGTGTGATCAAATTCATTCTTATTTCTGGATCTGTTGTCTGTTGACACCAACAAAAATGGTTTTTAGAAGATTATTATTATACATAATCTACCACTGGATTGAAAGTATCCAGTATATTATGCTTGAAATGTCTTTCATTAATCCAAGATATTTTTACTGTCACCTTTTTTATATCAAGCTACAAAATGATTCCAGAGCAAGAGAAACTTCTGTGATAACTAGGTATGAATATGATCAGATTGTGATGGGCCAAATGCTACTAAGACCCAACCAAACAAGGGCAGATGGGAAAGGTCTATTTTCGTAGGCCAAGGGCAAAGGCAGGAAAGGGTGAGCCAGGGGGCAAGAGGTGTGAAGAGTTAGTTCGAAGAGAGAGAGTATGTACAGGATAGCAAGTGAGGTTGGAAGGCATGTATTCAGTTATTCCTTAAGCTTAGACTGGTTTGGAGAATTCTCTCCATTGCTGGGAGCGTTGATCTTGTCTTTCTGTATTTGCATTTGAATTTCAGTTTAATAAATTCGTAATTTTCTCTTCTGGGAATTTCATCCTATCAGATTGGCTAATATCATTTTCTACAAGAACAAGTTGTAACTTGTAAGTGTGCTAAATCTAACATAATAACCGTTTAATAGTATGAACTGATTTCGTACAAGTATTTAAAATCATCACTGTATCTTGACGGACTACCTTTCATAAAATCTACTTTGGGTGAGTATTCATAAAGACTATTTTGTCCGATAAAGTACTTCTGTTGACACATTAGCGTCAACAGATTCTAAATTCCTAACCATATAATGTATAAGTGTCGAAGTGATATCTGAGTTATCAACGAGATAGAACATCCATTCTAGACAATGCAGTCAAGTTTACCAATGTCACTACCATGTTCAACACAGAAACTACACCTTGTCTACCAGCAAAATTAAAACAAGAAACATCTTATCCCTAACTGACAAAAATTCCGAAGTATAAACCAAGTCCTAAAAAGGAACTACAGTAAAATATGATACCTTTCACTAGTCCTGAATACAGCACCAGCATTCTCCAGCAAAATCTTCAACAACTCAAGAGCCACAATCTTCCCCTTCATCAACTGCGGATCCGCAGACGCCTCCTTAGGGGGCGTCTTCATAGACAATTTACAGAGCGCCCTAAACACCAAGAAAGCATCTCTTCTCAACTTGTTCCCAATCTGAACCTCCAAATCATCATCCCTCTCAATCAACTCCCCATCCACCAGCTCCTCCTTCCTGCCCTCCAATGCCGTCTTATACATACTAATCTCCCAATACTTGGCATCCAACATGTCCTTATCAGTGGAATCCAACAAATCCGTGGGATTCGTCGTCTCCACCGTAGTGGTCTCAAACGCACCGTCATGACCACCTAACAGAGAAACCTTCCCACTCGGCGTCACAGGATTCAAAACCCCATCAATGTCCTGCATTATCTTCGTAATAAACCCTTGCACAAATTGCGTCATTGAATTATCCACATCAGATTTTTCCACTGGCTCCATCAATTCAGCCACCACAATAGGCTGAATCGGAACCGTGGACGAATCTGCCTCCATTCTCCTAAACACAATCACCAACATCTGAATCAACGACGCTTTCGCAGTCGTCTGATTAACTACATTCTTACTCACCAGATATATATCATAGCACGTTCTTACAATGAGAAGCAAGCAATCACCATGAATTCGCAGCGAAATTGATGTTACCGCAGACAAGAGCGTCTTCAGCACCAGCAACTCCATCGCCTCGTCGCCTAAATCGTGGCATTTGCAAACCGATTCGATCATACTCGATAGCAGTTTCGCCTCCGCCGCGGCACCGCCGGGGTCCACCTCGCCGCGGAGGTAGCCGTGCGCGATGAGCTTCTGGATCGCGTCGACGGCGGGATCCGCGATCTTAAGGACGCCAGAACTGGCGGCATTGATGAGAGGACTGAGGATCGATTCGGACTCGGCGAGCGAGAACTCAACCGGACCGCCGTCGTGGAGCGGACCGGGAACCGTGTTTTCCGGTTCGGTATCGGTGGGAGAACCAGGAGGTAACTGCTGGTGAGTGAGCCTCTCGATGACGGATTTGCACTCGTGAGCGAGCTTCGCGTGCTTTCGCCATGAAGCGTTCTTGATGATCTTCTCGAGTGCGGGAACCACGACCTGATTCAGACGGGAATCGGCTTCCGAAGAAGCCATTCCCCAGCTCGGAGCGAGTTGTGACTCGGCGACGCCGCGGAGTCTGAGATCTTCGGGGGATAGCGAATGCGAGCGATTTTGCGCTAGGATCTCGATGCCATGAGCTGCGAGAGTGAGTTGGTGGAGCTCGTGAGGAGGTTCAACAATGGCAGCTAGTTGACTCAGTGAATTCAGGGAGGGAAGAGAAAGAGTGAACGAACAAGGTTCCGGGATCTGAATCGCAGGGAAGGTTACTACATGCGTCTTTCAGATCGCGATTTTTGGTTTGTCTCTCTTCTATGTAATTTGACGCAAGAGCCCCTTCGTTAGTGTCAAGTAACACGATACTGAATGTAATAATAAAGTGGATAATGTAGGGGCGTTTATGGGTTTTCAGGTATTGCAGATCGCCGGGAAAATGGAAACGTTCTTCTTTCCTTTTTTAATGTGGATAATATTTCATATTCAAAATTAAAACACACACAAGAATAATTTTAATTTTAAAAACTTCAAAATAATATCAAAAAAAGTGTGTATAACATTTTGATATCTTCCAGTGTTCCCGTTTCTTAAAAATGTGATTTAATGTTATGACAGAGAAATTAGGAAACATTTTTAAGACTTCTGTTTTTATTATAATTAGTATATTAGTATATACTTTTTGTTATACTATTTATTTACATCATTGATTAATTTCTGTTATTTTTTAAATTTCACATTAAATATGTAAAATAATTAAATAGTAAATGTAGGTAAGAATATAATTAGATAAAATACTGATTAATATTGCATTTAGTTTCAAAAACAAAAATATAAAAGATTTTTTTAAGGAAATAATTAAAAATAATTTTTTTTCTTATAAATTAGAAACCACATATGTTTTTATGTTTTTTTAGAAGATCTCTTGTTTAATTTTTCTAAAATTTGAAAGAAAGAAGTTTTATTATTATTTATTTATTTATATAAAATTGACAAATGTATTTGTGGGGCACAGAGTAAACATGAAGTTTTGGTTCTTCTTAATTGCCAAACTATCATTGCATAAAACTGAACATGGAAGGAAGACATTTGTGGGGTATAACCTCTATGGTTTTGCATTATTCTTTACTTCATGCTACGTGAAGATCCCCAAAAACAAAAATGCTCAAGGGGTCCATAGTTTACATACAGGAAGGAGTAGTCAACTGTTATAGAAAACTTAAATTGGCTTTATATATATTATTTTTACAATTTTTAATGCATGTCTAAGAGTATAACATCAATTTTTTTTAAAATTAAATTAAAATTATATCATTTAATATTATTAATTTATGACATTTTATTATATTTAATTATATAAATTAATTTATTATGTTTTCAGACCAACCTTAAAAAAATATATATATGGTTCCTGAGCTGTTAGCAGTACTACTGACATAAATTTTATTATAGTTGTCATGTAAATAAGGGATAAGAGCCACCTTGTCTTAGAAAAACCGCATAAATGTTTTATGATAATTAAAAAATGTCAAAAATAATTTCAAAAATAACATTTTTAATATTCAATTAACTTTTAAATATATGCAATATTAGATTTTGTTTTAATACTAACATTTTTAAAAATTTAGTTTTAATAATATTAATATATTTAATTGTATTAAACTTTGTGTTTTTAATAAAATTTATTATATATAGTTTCTTATCGAGTGTAACATTATTTAAATTAAAAAATTAATATTAAATTAAATCACAAATACAATCCTGATTTTCTTAATAACGAAATAAAGTATAACGTGCATGTCTATACATGCAATGTGTTTTGTAAATATATGTTTTAAAATCAAATATATATTAAGTCAACGAATGTTAGCTTATCCGGTATGAATAGGATTCGTATTTAATAATGAATCCAAAATTTATCATACAAAAGTTTATACTAATAAAAATAATTAATGTAAGTGAAAAACTTATTATTGATGTTAAAAATTTTAAGTATAAATCTAGCATATTCAAATGATTTTGAGTTCTTAAAATAAATTCCTCATGAAAATATTTTTTTTAAATGAATGAAATTTTTAAATTTTTGGTTAAATAAATAAATTTTAGGTATGAAACTCAAGAAATTATTAAAAACATATATATAGTTACACTTCAAAAGTATGAGGTTTCTTATGTATTTATTACAAACCTATGACCTCAATAAAAAAAAATGATAAATGCATTTATTACTAGTAATGGTAATAAAATGTGGTGTTTGAAAAAGGAAAAAACAATTAAGGCATCATGGTATTTATTTAAACCAATGCAAATTTCATTGTGTATTGCATTATAAGATGATATTCTTTTAAAGTAAGTTTGTTTGTAATGTAAAAAATTAAGAAACTATTTAGCTTTCTCTATTAGTTTATTGTTCACATAATTAACAATTTAAATAACACATTACTAAGTTTATATCTTAGTAGATGTGACATAATGCTCACATGAACAATCAAATCAAGTTTGTTTAACTAGATTTATATTGTTATTTATTTCTTGGAGTATGTCCCTTAGAATGCATCTTTTGTCACCACGTCTCATCCATCACCATCTTCTTGTTGTCTGAGTTGTTTTAACTTGAAAGAAAAAACAAAAACAAAAATGAAAAAAGTGAAATATGGTAATTTTTTTATTTATTTATTTAGTTGTTTAAATAAAATATGTTTTGGAACAAGCTGAAGTGTTTCTCCCTGCAATTTCCCTGTGGCATAGCATAGAAGAAAGGTGTATTTTTTGTATACCATTAACATACGTTTGTAAATTAATTTATTAACTATTTTTAAATATTGAATTAATAACCACTTTTAAATACTGAATTAGTAATCGATTCTAGAAATCAATTTAGTAATGAAGTTTAGAGACTAACTTTAGAGATGATGTCTGTGTAAAAATTATAAACAAAATATAAAAATGTTGTTATTTAATAAGCGAAGATAATACATAGTAAAAAATTTTGAAACTCTCTTTAACTTTTGTAATGGCTTAAATATAAAGTCAGAGCATTTGATGATGAAGTATGTGTGAAGCATAAAGTCTCATAATACAGTGTAACATTTTCATTTTCTTTATTTAAATAAACAAATTTTTATGACAAATAGAAAATAAATTTATTTCTATTCATGAATTTAATAATAGAATAAAGACAGAATTTTATATTGTCTTCTTATGAAAGTTTCATAAACTTCAAAAAAAAAAAGTCAAAGCTTTCAAAGGTAAAACTTTGAAATAATTAAATAAAACATAACTTTACCTTTAGCAAATTATTTGGTTTATATTGAACACATATAATATAGAATTTCCACTAAGAACATTTTTAAAATATTCATTACTACGAAATTGTCCAAGTATCATATATTATAAAATCTGACATTATAAATTATTTACAAACTTTGGTCAACACAAATTATAATTAGATCACACAATAGAATTTTTCAAATGGCTTTAGTTCCTACAAAGCAGTCTTCCTTTAAATATCCTTGAATTATGATCCTAGGACGAATCAGACATCTTTATCTCTTCACTTTCATTACTTGAAAATATTAGTAAGGGTGAGTATCTCCCGCCCCACTAAATCTCTGATTTAATATAAGTAAAGTACTTACGTGTATATACCGTACTAGGAATATTACTTAACATGGATTAAATTAGCAATAACACTTAAATCATCCAAGTTGCTATCACAAAGGAGCACACATGACAAACAATCAATCATGTTCACCATTTCAGATCATGCATCTTTTTACTAATTTGCAAGTCATAATACATGTATTATATCATGTCAATCAATATGTCACAACACATGTGTCCTAATCGTACCCGTCAATGTATTACAACACATATATCATAACAACATCAACCGAAATGTTACGATGCATATATTGTGACTATACAATTTTTATACCACTTCATACACATCACACTTTTACATTTATTTTAATTTCATATTCAATACCCCTGCGATCCCATGAAGATTTCACAGTTTAGATAGTCGCATATTAACTGCAGCAACACGGATACACGTGTGCCGACCGAGCCCCTTCTAGCAAAGGTATAGTTCAAAGTCTCGTCAGGAAATTAGTGTGTGGCCTATGAATGCTTTTACTTTCAGCAAATCATTGTGCACTTATTCACACTTAGCATTCACCACCCTCATTTTTCTAAGATTTTCAAATCTTCTCCAGACTCTATACCCCCAGTGTATCTTTAAACTCACCACCAACATTTCTCATTCTTTTTCACACCTTTTTATAGGACAACATGTCATAATACGTGAGTATTGACCAAATAATTTGGTATATTACAATATATATATATATATATATATATATATATATTATGGTATACCCTTTGCGTCATACTACAATACCTATATTGCAATCCTATCCATTCATCTATTCTGACTCCTGTATTATAATAACCTTTTTTAGCATTCCATTCAGTTTACTCACACGTGCGCCCACTATACGTAGCTACAGTTACTGTGGCACTGTGATCACATCATACAGAAAATCCTTTCTTTATTTAAGAATGGTCAAACACTTGCATCAAATCATAGGTTCACTCGTTTGAAATACTTCAACTATTAAACAACATATATAATAATTATATCATTCATCATGGAAATATCATCAACCAACTCATTCATTCACAATACTCTAACACTTTTTATTACAACCTAGTTCAACCAATATCAACATACTACAATCATCAACAAATACTTGACACAGAAAATCCTCAAACAGTTCATACATCACACAAATCAATATAATGTGCTAGAGGTCAGACATCTCCAGACTCAGCCCAATCACACAACTCAATTTACACATTTTCTCGATAATAATAAAGCCATTTATCCTAAGGTCTAACATAATTCCTTATTACAAAAACATTAAACAACATGTCCCGACTACTCCTAACAACATTTACTTTGTAGAATCCTAATGTTTCTCAAAAACTGTTTTACTTAAAGTCTTTATTACAAGTTACCTTTAGATAGTTATCAAAATAGTTAAGGATTTCCTATTTTAAACTACCCAAGAGAGATTATGCTTTGGGATTAACTCCCTTTACCTTGGAATGAAGACCCTTCACGAAATCCATGATAGAATAGTTCTCCACACAGATTTTTTGTTCCTAAAACATGGAATTTTCCATGAGAAATCGAGAATACAAGAAAGAGAGACAAGAAATAGAAAATTATAACTCATAAACTTACCTCCAAACGTCTCAAACTCAATTTCAACCTTCAATCTAGTTTCCAAACGGCTTTGGAGGCAATTTAATTGGTAAGAATGGGTTGAGAATAGAGAGAATCGAAAAGATTTCAAAGGGAGGGATAGGAAATGAATTTCTCGAATCCTAAACCCTTCAAATACCTCTATGATCGTGACACGCTCGCTACAGCAACACACTCTCGCTGCAGCGAGGCATCTCTCATTGAAGTGACACCCCTTGTCGCTACAATGAAAATCTCAGAGGAAACTGCACTCTAATTTCTGCAAAATCTCGCTACAGCAAGACTGCACTCAGAAATTCATCCCTCATTGTCGCTCTCTGGCTACAACAAGAAGACAACAGTCTCATGCCTTCCTCTCAAAATTCTCTCACTACAACGAGAATCATCTTGCTACAGCGAGAACACCCATGCACTACATACTTAGCCAATTTTTCAAATCAACCAAATCTGCCACATAATTCAACACACATACATTCATATGAACAAATCAATATATATCCTTACAAAATTCAGGGCGTTACATATAGAACCTAAGAACTATTCACTCCTACAAGTTGGTCGAAATAGATTATGTTTACAAGTTGATTTAAACATTAAAATTAGTGAAAACTTAATCTTATAGTTTTGCTTCAAGATAAATATTCAAAATCAATTCTATAAATTTATAATAAGTTTATAACTATTTATTTTACCCCTTTTTGACATAAAATGAAAGTAATACAAATTAAAATGTGAAATTTCATTTTTAAATAAAAATAAGACAAAATTATGAAAGTTTACCTTTCAAATGAAAATAGATAAGTAAATCAAAATGAATTTATGAAATTTTTAGAATTAAGGAAAGCAAAAAAAAAAAAAAAAATTATTTAACGAGACACCACATATTTCTATGTATCAATTGATACTATGTAAAACTCAATCATCTTCTTCTTTTTAATATACTTTTAGATCGACTAATTTTAATTTTGAATAATTCTTATAATAATATTCATTTTATTTAAAAATTTCAGTTACATATCAGGTTTAAGTTGGTACAAAGCAATTCAGTATTCCCTTTGATTGATAACCACTTTTTCTAGGATCAAATTTTTATTTACATTAAATTTGTTTGACAAAATAAATTTTAATCATGTTAATGGTTTTTCTTTTATTTTTAAAAAATAGGCAAATCCATGATTTTATAATATTCAAATTAGCACAAAGTTGTACACTAAACACTTATGATTTCAATAATAATAAAGATAGGACTCGCTTTTCCATCTTATTACATAGATTTCAATTTTTTCAATCTTATTTTCCAAGCAATGATGCTTGCCATGGTTAAGCATTATCAAGAGAAAAATTGATAAGTAATTAAAACCTTTGTGGGCTAAGACAAAAGTGGAACTACAAAATCACATAAAGAACCAATCAAGAGGGAGTGTGTGTGTGTTTACGTTTGAGTGTCTTGTGGCACTTCCCTTTGACCTTTTAATTATCATCAAGTTGTGAATTGAAAATGAAAACAATTTGAAATATCTCGCATATCTGAGAGGTGACAAATAACTTAATTTTTCCTTTCAATATCGCTATGCCCAAGTAATCAATTAGTTGAATTCATAAGCCACATATATCACTTCACTAGCATTTAAAATCTAATAACTAAAGAAAGGAGGGTGAAATAAAAGATATAAAGAACCATATATTATTATAATTACTTTCTCATATGAGACATTGAAAATTTAAGATCTCTTTTCCTAGTCTTCCATATGTCAACTGAAGACAAAGATTAGTTGATTAAATCAAAGATTGATCATTTGGAAAGGGAGTGAGATGAAGAGGGATTAGAGCATGCAACAGGGGCAGATCCATGTCTATGCAAAAGCTCACGAGCCAAGGCTTGAAGATCACCACCACTACCACTAGAGGCTGATGGGCCACTACCCAAATATTGACGTGGGTCTATGGGCCTTTGCTGCATGGCCCATGAAGAATTTTGGGCCATTGGGTCAAAAAGTGAAGATAAGTCATATGTGGCTGGCACGGTGGAGGCAGGGGCTGATGGGAGGTCAGCTATTGAGATCACTGGTGGTGCTATGGTTGCTTGTGGTGAAGAAGGTGGTGGTGGTTGGGGTAACTCTAGTGTTGCAAGGTGGCCTTGTAAGTATGAGAGTTCTGCTTGCAAACTCACCACCTGTCCAATAAAGAAACGAGAAAGGTCATGATCAAGATAAGTATGCATTGATTGTTGGTAAAGTTTTATTATATTTAAAAATTGTTATTTTTCTTTTTCATATGCTCTAGATGGGCATTGAATACATCATCTTAAATGCTATTAAGTACTTAAATATGTAGTAGCTATTTTATATATATGTATATTTTATTAAAAACAATTGCTTTTGCTTCTAAAACATGGACACCTTGTATATAAAATAGAAAAATTAGAACTCTAAATCCTTGAATATTTAGTCCTCTATTTGACATTTCTATCCCTATAATTTACTTCTATTTTAAATTATTTCATGTTTAAGATTTTTCACAGGAAATAAGAAAAACAATAAATATCTTAATTAATATAATAATTTACTGAATTATACTTATTATTTATTTTATTTGTTTGTTTAAAAGTTGATTATTTAAGGTAAAATTGGCGGGAATTAACGTGAGGCTTTAGGAGTGTTTGGAAGAGTTTATGAGAAACTTTTTTAAAAAATATTATAACTTTTATAAGCTCTTTTTTATTTATTTTAATACTCTTTTTAGAATAATTTACAAAATAAAAAAATTATTTTAACTTGTTTTTAATAAATTTTACAATTGAAATTATATTATAAACTTTTATATAATAAAATTTATTTAATAGTTGTATAATTGAATTATTTCCTCAAACACACGTTTAGTCATTGATAGAGCTATATTTAAAGAGACTTTTGCTTAAGAAGTGAGAACTCCAATCAGGTTCATGGTTAAGTAACACTATATCATGGAAGAGTGGATATAATTAAGAAAAGAAAAGCTTGATTAGGGCCAAGCTGGGGGTGTTTCTTCTGCACATTCCCGTGCTCGTATTAAAAATAGGACCTTGAACAGCACAAAAATGTTGAGTTTCATGAAAGTGAATAAACTTAAGAATGACAAGTATGAAAGCGTGACTTTAAAACAACATTCTCGAGGTTATAAAACAAGAGTTTTGTAAGAACTAAGTCATTTGGGGGAAAATAAACAAATTAATATGATTCGACTTAAAGGGTAAAAAAAATGATCGCTTGAAATAAAACAAATCTTCCATATATATTTTGAAAATGACTTTTGTTTAAAAATCAGATTTTCTGACAATGACCAATTATGAGGGCATGGGGATTAGCTAATTAGCAACTCTATAATCAAATAAAAATATTTTACTAATATCTAAGATAGAGGGATGAATTGACTATTGGTTAAACAATCACATGATAGTATATAACAGCATTAATAACTAATATATAATATTCATGTGTGTTCATAATATAATTCTTTTTAAGACTTCTATTTTGTTTATAATCTTTTGTCTTGTTGGGACTTATGCTCACATAATTCTAAACAATATAGTGTGTGAACATAAAGAAATAGCAGGAAAAGCCAAGAAACAAATACACACAATCACCATTTTAGATGTTAATTACCTTGTAGTAGTTCATTGTTTCTCTAATTAAAGAAGCAATTTGTAGGCAAAAGAATAAAGAGCTAAGCTTCTTTACAAGTAATAAATTGTAAAAAACGATCAAAGAGAAAAGAAGCTCCACAATTTAAGGAAGATTGCTGGTTTGATTTGATGGTGTCGTCCCTTTCTCGCAGATCACCTCTATTTTTCATAGATAAAATAAAAGAAAAGGGGTGGGGTTGCAGTGAAAATTTTCTATTAAGGAGATTAATTTATATATTAAAGATAGGGACATAAAAACGTACCAATGGTCAATTTATAAGGAGGATAGGGACAGAAAAACGTACCGCGCCTATCAAATTGCCTAAACCCAAGAAACTAACCGACCAATTCCCCTAAAACCAGCGAAAACCAAGTGGCTAATGGTTCAAGCCATGAACTATTAGACACTACCCATTTGTGTAACCGCCGACCACATAATTTCTTAATCAATTTAACGTTGTGGGTTTCAGTAAAAAGCATAGAAACTGTCCCCTATGTTCCATGGCTCTTTGCATGCCCTACCTTGTTTCCTCTTTCTCCCAAGGCCCCCAACCCAACTTTTGTTCCTCTTTCGGGGGGCACAAGACACTACTACCATGTATGTAAAGGCAAAGTGGAAGAATGGATACTACCTCTCTTCAAAACCTTGGAAAAATATGCTTATAATATGAATGGATTCCATCCTTTTTAATGCAAAATGATGTTAGTCAGAGTGTTTTGTTGAAAAAAAACAATGATTAAAAAGATTATTGGTTAAGGAATTAAAAAACTATTTAAAACATATAAATACACCCATCCACATAATTTTTATTTCATCCTAACAATATTTTTAATACAAAACTTAGGAACGGTTTGATTTGGAAAAAAAAATTACTATTTTTTTAACTACAAAATTGTTTTCTTTAATTTCATTTCTTATATTTAAAGATTTGCATAAAAAATAGCAAAAAATAGATTATATCTCTTAAAATAAGAAAATAAAGCGACAATTTTATAACTAAAAATAAAACATTTTCTAAAACTGAATTGTCCTTACTATTTCTTTATTCCTTAACTATTGCCTTGAAAATACTCACTAATAAGACTCTTTTAATATATGCCTAAAGAAGAATAATTCTAAAGAAATATATTTTAAAGAACGTTTCAAATAATAATAATAATAATACGTTAAACCAAAATACATACTTAATTTCATTACCGGCTCCATCTATAAATTGATCAATCCTTGAGGAACCAAAAATGAAAACAGCAATAATAATAATAAAATCAACTTCCTTCTTTCCGCCCCCTTCCCTTTATACTGCGGTAAGGTGTTACAAAATGAAGATGAAAATTCAGAGCCATTCAAATTTGATGTGATCATCAAAAGTGGTGGATTTAATAGCCCATTTCAATGCTTGGCTAAAAAACAAAAACAAAAACTGGGGGTTACTCTAAACATATACGTGGTTTTTTCAGTTTCTGGAAAGTACTAACATATAAAATAAATATAAAAATAGTAACCCATCCACCATCTACAATCTATCCCCTTCTAATTCTAAATGTGTAGAAATCCATATTAAGGTGCTCATATATTCCCGAGTCAAGAAAAGAAAAAGGAGTCTGAAACAGCTGACCACATTCTAAGATTCACCTAGCTAGCTACTATAGCTGGCAAAGCTTAGGGAGAAGATACTTATGACAAGACAGCCAAAGAAGTGAACAAATAATAGTTAACAAATATGCCAAGAAAAAAATCATCCTTATCTCTAGAATCACATGATCATTAACGTATTCTATTAAACAAATTAAAACTTCTAATTAATCACCACATCAATTAATTAATCAATTATTATTATTAATTACCTGTTGCTGAAGAGCAAAGATATGAGCAACACAACCATACACGGGGTCTCTAAGCCTTGCTTGTGCTTCATAACAAATGGTGACAACCGCATCAAGCCTCTTATGCACTGGAATGTTAAGGAGTAACTTGGAAACGTTACTAGCTCCAAAAACCTTATGCACCGCCGCAAAATGCGTGGCACCTTGCTCTGAATCAAAGTATGGAGCAAAGATGCAACCTGGCACGCACTTTCTCCTCAAAAACTTGCATGCCCCACATGGGCTACCGCCACCGCTATTGCTGCCGCCGCCGCTACTACTACCACCACCACTTCCGCTACAACTAGAATTTATACTCATTTTTTAAAGGGTTGTGTTTTTTTTTTTTTTTTTGAAATATGACTGGTGTAAGATTATGAGGTTTTATGAGAAGGGGTTGAGAGGCATGTGATTAGGTTAATGAAAAAGGTTTTGTATTAGAGGAAGAAAAGGAAGAAGAAGAGAAGAAGAAGGAGAAGAAGGAGAAGAAGAAGAAAAGGAACGGTGGTGATTGTGTTGAAGGAATTTAGGGTTTGGTGAGGGGTTAATATTTTAATGATGAATTTAAAAAGGTTAGAAGAAGTCTTTAAAGCCACGCGAGGGAGGAAAGGGTTAACCCCCACATATTTAGTTGCTTGCGTGAAGCAAACATGCGATAAGCCCCTCTTACTATAATCTCTTTCCTTTGGTTTTTTCCTCTTTTGCCTAAAGAATTGAAACTCATGCTAGCTATAGTTATATATTCTCCCTTTCTCTCTCTACATATCTATCTATCTATCTAAAGATGCACAGACTCTTGATATTCTCTAGCTATAGCGGCATATTCATGTGATGCATGTATGGGAAGGAAGGGAGGTTTTGATTTTGGAGGAGGGGGTGATGTAAAAGTTGAAAGAGGTTTTTGTTGCAGACTCCAAAAGGAAGATAGAATAAGAAACTGTGTGTGTGTGTGTGTGTGTGTGTGTGAGAGAGAGAGAGAGAGAGAGAGAGAGATGAAAACGTGTCAAGGGGAGTGTCTATATTTGCCTCTGCGTGTTTTAAGCTGCGTGGAGGAGAAAAGACGCCAACTCAACTTTCTTTCTTTCTTTCTTACTTTCAATCAGCTAAGGTTGAAAATGACGCACCCTTTTGTCTTCCTCTTCTTTATAAAATGCCAAAACGCTTAACCTATGACTATGAGTTATGGAGTTGAGGCAACAATATGACGTGAATCCCTCAGAGCTTCTCTTCAATTCACTAATTCATTTCCGATTTTACTATATTCGGAGTCGGTATTCAAATAATGCCTCTCAACAAAAAATAATACTATGCGTGTCTGTGTGTATGTGTATGTGAGACAGAGGGGAGTAATATTCGGTAAGCTTAAGGAAACAATTTATGAAAAAATAAATTAATTTTCATAATTTATTTTAGATAATATTTTTGGTATAATCCTTAATATTTTATTTTGTAGATTATTGAAGCAAAACTGTAACTTTAATACCAAAAAAAAAAACAATATTTATGGTATTATACGTAAATTTTGTCTTAAAAGGAGCTGTTTACTTTAACTACTGGATAAAATAAAATTTAAATAGATTGTATTAAAGTTTGAACAAAATTATAAAAAAATAATTTATTTTTAAAAAAAATAAAAATCAATTTTAACTTATGAAAGAAATTTGAATCATTCTAGTATGTTTAATTTGAGTAAATTTCTCAAGAAAGTTTGTATGAAGATATAAGCATCTGTGAATTTTAACTTACGAAAAAATTTTGTTTTATTTTACTATTTTAGTTCAGTTTGCGTAAACTTATAGAAAATATCCTCACAGAAAATGAATTATTAAAAAATAAATAAAATTTATTTTATTAATTAAAAATAATTTATCTTCTTAAATTTTAAATAAATTTATAAAAAAATATAAATTGTTTATAACTTATGAGAAAAAATTTATTTTTTATATACAAATAAATATTTTGTGTTATTATAAACTAAATAAATATTTTTTTCAATACTTTTAAACAATAATTAAATATATTCCTAACATTGATGTTATCAGTTTATTTGAAAGAGTTTATATACAATTTATAACTTTCTTAAACTTTTTAAAACTTATTTCAAAATAGGATATTTTTATGTTATTTTGATAAATTTTATGATTAAATTTCTGGCATAAGTTATATTCAAAAAATTATTAAATAAATTATGTATCCAAACGCTCTTTATAAATATGATAAAGAAGTTGAATAAAATAAAAATAATCAAAGACAATAATAACTCTGACTAACAAGATCAAAATAAATGAAATAAAATGAAGTTTGAAATAAAATAAACTAATTAATTCAACTAATTTAAACCAATTTAAGAAATTTAGTTTGAAAAAAATATAACCTTTGACTCATTTAACTAATATAAAATATGGGTAGAATTAGTATTTATAACTCAATATTTTAGTAGATTATCTAAATAAATAAATAAAAAAGGTAAGATGCTTTATTTGCTTCCATTGTAATGATTTTACTTTTACTCATAAAGTTGTTAATTTTGTTCTAAATTGTAAAGATCATATATGTTAATTAAATTTTGTTATAAACATTAATATTTTTCATAAATACCAATTTTTATATTTATATAACATTTTTATTATTTTTAATTTTTTAATTTTTTTAATAATATTTATATTTATAAAATTCATAATATTAAATATATTATTTATATTACTCTTAGTCAAAATTCTATATAAATATATATTTTTGATTTCATGAAAAAAAAACACAGTCCATTACTTTTCTTCATTATTTTTTTCCAAAATTTACTAAACTAAATTTTACTAAATTTTAGATGAGTTAATTCATAACGTTTCATTTTATATTTTATCTAATTTTTTTATATATTTATTAACCAATTTATCAACATTTTTAAATTTAAATTAGTTGACCATCGATATTTTAATCTATCATAAAATAAGGTAAATTAACTGTTGAATTTGTTCTATAAATTCGAGTAAACTATTGATCATATTTTAGTTGCCTCGTTATGGGATGATTAGGTGTGCAGTGGGATAGTTAAGATGGGTTAGCTTATTTTATTACCTGCGTGTGAGTGTTTTAAAAAGATTTTAAGGGTATTTGTTTTAAATAGTTTTATCTAAATACATCATTTAAATAAATTACCTTCACATGCATTTGACATTGACCTTCTCTTAATTAGTGGCTTTAAATGTTAGTCAATATTTAAGATAATTTTGACATTAACAATTTTGGTAAGTTGATTGGCTACTTTTATTGCAAATGACTTTGTAGCTTCCGTGGCTACAATATTCTTGTAATTTTTTTTATTATATTAAATGAGTTGACTTTAATTTATAATGAATATTATAGAAGAAATCATTATTAAATATATGATATAGAAATAATTAATCTATTAAATATATGATATAGATTAAAAGTTTTCTTTTTAAAGTTTATAATAGTTTTATTCATCATATTCTTAGAAAAGATGAGTTTGGGTTAATTCTTTAACTTAATTTGGTATATTTAAATCCAACAAACCTTGTTTTCTTAAGTACCCATCAATAAAAAATAAATGACTCTTTGTTGACATATTTGTTTTCTTTTCTTAGGTTTTAATTTTTTTTTTTCTTCCAATCAAAATATATATAAGAAGTAAAGCAACTCATTTTTGCAATTTTAAAAAAATAAACTTAAAGATATCTGAGAGAGATTAAGAATGAAAATTTTCTAACAGTAAGATGTATAAATTTTGTCTGATATACAGAGGGAAATTTTTTAAGATAAAAAAGTTTAAATTTATAACCTTATTCGATTATTACAGTTCGTAATTAATAATAATAATAATAATAATAATAATAAATGGAAGGGAATGGAGGACCCACTTGAATGTGAGGGCGCCACGTGTGATGGAAGACTGTGAGCGTAACGGGTGGGTAAATGTTGAAAGCGCTTCGCTGGTAAGGGGAACCACTCGCCGTTATCTACATCACTACCTGAGAAAGAAAGTCAAGTTTACTATTTCCCTCCACAATGTTTAATGAAAATTGTGTCAAACATGATAAAATACATATTGGTTTTTTTTTTTTTAGAAAATAAAAGCATAGAATGTAATATATTACTTAACAATACGTGAGAATTTTAATTTAATTAATAAGAATAAAATATTAACAAAAATAATAATAGTGTAAATAAATAATTTAAATTTTTTTAATCTTATTTTTATTTTTTTCTTAATTTTATTTTTCAAAAGAATAATATCATTTCTTATAATTGGAATATTAATATACTTTTTTGTAAAAAAAATATATCATACATGTAGTATTTACTCATATATTTTAAAAATTAATGTACTTTAATATAAAGTTTTTATCTCATGTGAACTGTGATGTAATTAGTTACCCTGTATTTAAAATATTAGTATTTCATTTAATGTGTTTTTAAAAATCAATTTGTCATGTAATATTTACTCATATGATTTAAATAATATAATCTACTTTAATGTATTATTTTATTAAATGTTATATGAATATTTGTTTTTACAATTAAACTACTAATATAAATTAGTGTAACATTTTCATTCTCTTGTTACAAAAATAATTATTCCTTGAAATTTTTATTACATACAAAAAAAATTCCTTTTATTTTTTACCTTTTTTTAACTTAATATTTTTATCATGTAAATATTAAGTTTGGAATAAAAGTAAAAAGTAAAGTAAAAAATAAATTGTCTATAAATAAGAATGAAAATAAGTTAGGTTAGATTTTATATAAATAAGTTTTGAAATTTAAATTTAACATATGTGACGTAAAGATTAAGAAAAATGTGCTTGTAATGCAATTTTTTATTTATCAGTTTCTATCAAATTTTGCGATCATTGACAGCATAAGAGTTCTGATGCTCAATATCGTCCCTCTCTTACCAATTTGATTTAATATTTTAATTACTTTTGATTCTAAATATTATAATTATAATTTATAATTTAATGTCTCACCTCAATTATTATAATATATTTTACTAATTAATACTTTATATTGGATTGTAAAAAGTATAAATTATATTTTAATTAACTAAATTATAGATAAAAATGAGTATGAAAATTTAGGTACCTAGCAAAGAATGGAAATCAATGTTATTATTCAATGGATACTAAGATAAAAACAAGTAATTTTTTTATAACACAACTATGAATATGAATACTACAGTACTCTAATTAAATCTTACTCATTTTGATCTCTACCTTAAATAAATATAAAATCTAACATATAAAATAAAATTAATAATTTTTTAATACGCTTTCTTAATATATTTCTTATCAACTAAAATTTATTGATATTACAAAAGGGTGTGATTTTTATCACCACTTTTCTATATTGACCTGAAAAAGTGTATGATTTTATCACCAAATTCTTTAATTTTTAAAATTAAATAAATTTGAAATTAGTATTATTATTATTTATTTAAAATTCTCAACTTATTAATAAATAAATAAATAACTCTGATAGTTTAATGTAAACAGTATTTAATTACCACTTTTAAAATTGAAAAAATGATACTAATTGTTGACAAATAGCAATGTTCATTTTCAATATGAAAGTTAAAATTCAAATAGAAACCAAACTAAATTTTTTGTTTTATAATTATTATATTAGATTTAGGTTTAAAATATTTGTCAGCGTTTTTAAATGCAAAAGTGGTCGTATAGCCTTTAAAAGGAAATGAAGAAAAAATAATGCAAACGCAAAAATTGCAGCAAAATATTGGCTTAGTGTCAGAAAAAGGAAAATGAAATAAAAGAACAAATTTTGGTAACAGTGGTAACAGTGTTGACCGCGCCGTCCGGTTTGTCACTACTGTGAAGAGGAAGCAGTGGCAGAGGCTTTAACTAGCTCATCACTGTAAGCATCCCCAAACACCACTCCAACTCACTTTTCACTCACTTATTTCTTTTTTAAATTGTTTTTCT